GGGTCATAATAATAATAATAATAATAATAATAATAAAACTGCATTCAAATTTTGTTTTTTTTTATCAAAAATAAGTGCAGCTTATACGCAGTCAGGATGTACCATCCAACATGGTGGAGCATGATCTAACAACTCAACTAAACACAGGAATACTCTGCTTCTGTATTGGAGACAAGTGAGGAGAGATTCTCCAAGGTGCAAAAGTAAATGCAACAGTCTGTGGGTTGGAAATCTTTTGGCCCTACTTTGTACACACCCATTTCCATGCTGTGATTACAAGTGTTTCAGATTTAACTTTTGGAGGAACAGGGTTTGGAGTTTTGCCTTTCTCATTTTATTCCGTATGTCCCTTGAGCACTGTATTTGTATGTAACAGCTTAACATTCATAGGTACAGTGACACCCCCCCCCTCCTCCACCCATTTAAAGTTTCTTCGGGGGCCACTGGATCTGGACACTAAACTGAAGTCAATCTTAAATGGAGGAAGTTTAATGCTGAGGTTATTGGCATAGAATCATTGGAATATAATGTTAAATGAGATAAAACCTTGAATTCAGAGTCACTATACTGACTTTTGTGAAGAGTGATTTTTGATTGAAAGGTAGGGGTCAAAGTGGTTATTTCTTTTTCCTTCCGATTTTTCAGGGCACTCTTCTGTGTATGTTTCAGATGAGACAGCCTCACACAGGTCTTTTGTCCCCTATATTTAAAAGCAGTACTTCACAGGTGCCACAGGAAGTTGATGCAGTACCTGAAAGTCCAACTATGGAGCCTCCTGTTGTGTTGAGACGTCGTCCTGAACGTGCAGATTGTCATGAAACGTCTCTATTCAGTGGAAGCAGCCAGGGAGCACAGAAATCAGCTTCTGAAAGAAATAATGATGGTAAGGCTGTTGAATCTGTTTGTGACAAAAACTGACATTGCAGTTAGTCATGGGGCCAAAGTACTGTAAGTCTGCTGAGTGTTTTGTCTTTACTATTTTAGATCTGTGTTTTTGAATGCCTAGCATTTTTGGGTTTTCCAATAAAGGCTACATTTAAAGATTTTGAATATTTAATTAAAATGGTGCTCTGGTATATGTAATGATTTAGCAGCAGAAATTAAGAACATTTTTTTTCCCCTGAAAATCATTTTCAGCTTTCTGGTTGTCTTTTTTGTTGGTACATATTTTCAGGTTGTCCTCACAGATGTCAGTGATGTTTCACTTTTTCTATATCTTAGAATGCTTCAGTAACGTGTTCAGCAATATTAGTATTCATGATGAATCTGTGACAGTGAAGTATTCTTTTTTCCAACAGGTGTTGATTTTTCTGGAAATAATCCCAGCCCCCATCTAGTATATAAGGTGCTTGGGCTTGTAAGATGCATTGCGAATTTTAGGACCATTTTCAGGAAAGATTCTGCATCTTATATACCAGGAAATATGGTATTTTGCTGCATATTGATATTATGTATTACTGTATTATGTCGAATATAAGATGCACATTTTTCCTGTTTAAAGCTTGGGGTGCATCATAAATTCGAGGAATTATTCACCAGTTTGCAAGCTGCCCATGTGTTAGCCTAGAAAGAACCTAACATAAACACATTTGGTGTGAGTCATAAAGCCACATCGTCCTCTCCTGCCCCCACCCTTAACTGTGACTGAACTTTCAGTTCACTTTTTGCCTGACATTCTTATGGTCCAGGTGTGTTCAGTTTTCTATAAATTTTTACCCATGGAAAAGCGTTTTACATATGGTGCTGCATTCAGAAGAAAAGTTATTCTGTGCTCTGAAAAGACAGGTAATCTTGCAGCTGGTAGGAAGTATGCAATAAGTGAGGCATATGTATATCATTGGGGAAGTAAAGTAAAAGTAAAGCTATCCCTGTACCAGGCCATGAAGGCCCATAGGGTTGTGTGATGTTGAGGGTCCCACATTGTCTAGACAATTGGCTCAAAGATGGTGGTAAGGTCATCAGCCTTACACACCGGCCGTGCTTTACTCCCCGGGAAAATTATTTAATTAATTCCTGGTACTCATTTCTGTTAGAGGCTGAGTCGACCCCAGGGCCATAGTGCGGCTGGAAGGAATATAAAAACAAAACTGTTTTCATGTCTGACAAATAGAAGGTCTTCTTCTGGACCAAGGAAAGGTAGAAATCCTGAGATTGATGTGTCTGTTTTTAGAGTATTTCAAAGATTTTGTTTTGGGGATTACTCAGTTGGAACCCGATTTTAGAAACACTGGAGAGATTTAATCATCCTTCAGCATACTTCCTAATGTAACTATGTGTATATAACCGATACTCTTTTCAGATTCTGGGGGTAATTATGAATCTTTTATGAAATTTTTTCATAGAGACCATGAGAAAGTTGTTTTTTTTTCTAAATTTATCACAAGCTAGTAATATGTAGCATTGTGTTCTCTCTTGGAGTTCAGCTACTTATAGCAGTGAGAGCAGGTAAACATGGCATGGCACATATCCAAATGGAACTGGTGTACTTAAACCTCTACATAAATAAGACTTCTTTGGGGAGCAGTGAAATTGAACACTAATCTGAGGAAAACCTTAAACGGATGCACCTTAACACTTGGATTATTGTCTAGGATTTTTGACATTGATTGAACATCAAGTGAGGGAAAACCTTATATCAAGACATTAAGTGGGGGTTGTGCACTGCTAAGAAGTAACGTAGTGGCAATGCTGGAAAAACAAGGATTAAGTATGTTTTACTTCTCAATGAAAATACAAAAATTTCTACTGCTTTCAAAAAGTTTGAGGTTTATAAGCAGCCAATAATGTTATTAGAGTCTTTCTGGGTGGTTTGTTGAAATTTAATTTTGTCGTGGGTTTTGCAGTATTCCCTGCATCTAACTGGTACTTTAGAGCAGAAGGACTGTATGCCTTTTATGCATATCTTGCTGTCTCTTAATCAGTCAGGATCATTGCTTGTTCCATTTACTGTAGCACTGATTGATTGCTGACCACTCTGTCTTAAAGGACTCAGATGAATAATTGTTGGCTCTGAATAAATATATCTGCTGAATGCATATTAAATGAAAAATTGTTTATTCAAAAGTTCTGCATCTTGTTGAGAAGATATATTGAATAATTTACATATTATTTGTTCATCTAGAAGGCTTACTGGGGGCTAGAAGCTTAAATCTTGCTACTCATGAACATTCATATTACATGTTTTCATATATAGTTTATTTCAAAATTGAGCTTCACTTGTGTTTTTCCTTATTTTGTCAGGACTACAAGACCCTGAACTGAACCTTTTAGTTAATCATTAGTTTCAGAGAGCTTGCTAATTTTTAAAAAATATTCATACTCATTCATCATTTTTAGTTTTACAAAAGTAAATTATGAACGTCCACAGTAACTTTACTATCACAAACTTCTTTTTTGTTACTGCAGATGCATCAAACCTATCTCCGTACACATTTTCTAGTCTTGGCAAACGCATCAGGCATTCTTTCAGGGAGAAACGCCGTAGCCTTAGACTGAGTGGTAATGCTCGCCACAAATCTGACTCGTCAGCAGGAGATTGTGATGAATGTAAACAGGTGAATATAGAAGATCAACATTTACATGCATATAGAAGTTTTACCCATATTTTGTGCTTTAAAATTAAATAGAGATTTATCCAATCTATATGTTATGGCATTTGTTAGCTCAAAGTTATTGGTAAAGTTGTTCTTAAATGTTCAGAACATATCCTCACAATATTCATAGAATTTGGTTGGTCTTGTGACTGTTATAAGGATGGGGAATCGTGAAAAGCCTGAAATGTTGCCAGAGCTCTGTACCGTGTTATACTCACATAGAAGCATTTGGAGCCAAGTAGCAATGCTGTAGCCATAATTTATCTTGAAAGTGGAATGGAATTTGTCTAGCAAAGATCACGTTTGACACAGTGAACAAGGCATGGCCCCACTGCAGAGAAAATAAATCAAATGCTTGTGCAGCAGTGAGTGGGAGAGTGACCTAAACATAGTTAGAAATGAATCCGGCTGCAGATATCTGAGACACTTCTAGATTAGGACAATTGGGCCAAAATTTCCGTAATGTTGGGTATCCATTGTAAGAGAACTAATGTTTAAGAAGTCTGAAATCTTGAGAAGTATTACAGATTCATATAATATTACCTTGCAGTGTAATTTTTTAGATATGATGCGCATTTTCATCAGTTTGTATGTTATTTGAATTCAGTAAACAATTCAGTTCCAACCAGAATTCATTCTAATGGTGTTCTGTTCCATTAGTCTGGTAACTTAATATCTGGTGTAATGTATATGGTTAGGTTAGCCATCGCCACAAAAAGTAATTTATAATGAATCAGTATTTTTTAATTGAGTATTTATTTCCTGCTACATGTTTCGGTCTCATGGGACCAATTCAGGCAGTGACATAAGAATGCGTTTAGGTCATTGAACTCCTAATATAGATCCATATTGGTGTAACGTGTCATATTCTATGATACAGAATTTGTGCCTCGAGTTAATATAAATATTAAAATTAAAATATAAAATATCAAGGATATATTCAAAAATATACAAGTATACTGACTGTATTACAGGTACTGAAGTGTTGAAGAATGTATTAAAATTATTAAAAATTTTTAAGAGTTATTAAAAAATTATGTTTATAAAGTTTCAAAGTTATAGTGCCCACTGTAGTGCTAAGCTGCATCATTTTATAGTTTGTGGATCCAAGTCTTGTGATATGATTTTTTATTGTTGTAAAATCTGGAGGATATGTTTTTGATAACTTGCCTTCAGGGTAAGAGATGTGAAAAATGCTTGTGTATTATGAACTTCTGAATAGTGGCACTGTGATGCTTCCCAGTTGCATCAAGATGTTCCCAATTGGAATGGCAGTCTTCTTTGTACCTAATCTCTGCAGTGGGGTTAGTTTCTGTATGGTCTTTTGGCTTCATTATTATCTAAGATAGTTAGATATTGCCATGAATGCCCTGTATTAACAGCATAGTCTTCATAGGACTCAGGAGGTAAATCAGCTAATATATATAAATATATTCATATAGGGAACATTTTCACAACTTCCTATTTCTGTTGCAGTTGGAATTTTGTAAATATTGTCACATAGTATGGAGTGACTGTAGATGGGGTTTGGATTGGCAGATAGTTTTATGGACCACTTACAGGTCATAACTACAAATAACTATTGTTATTTCCACACTTTACAGTTCACTAGAGCACACAGTCCAGCATGCTCGGTCTGTTACTAAACGTTTCCTTGTAATGGATCCAACAATGACTATTCCTTTGCCTCTGGCTCAAGTCCTCTCTTCAGAGACACCCATACAGAACTGACTAAGCTCTAACCTTATCCCTTGCTTCTAACATCTTGTCATGGACCACATAGAAAACACAGCTCTTCTGTTGTGCCATTGTTGTGTTCATGTCTGTTGCTGCTGGAAAGTGATTACCCAACTTTTTTAATTTTTAATTATCCAACGATTATCTAGAAGTGACCCTGGTATATCTGCCTATCTTGCTGTTGGCACATAGGAACACCTCTACACATTACAATATAAAGCAGGTGCTTAAGTATGGATGTGTATTTGAAATCCTTTATTACCAGGGCCCGAATTTTGATGACATGTCATCTTTTTTTCCTTGAATCCTATGCGATACTCTTTAAGTATATAAATCTCGGTTATGAGCTGCTGGTTACAGAAATGTAAATTTTATAGGTAATTTTTGGCATTTTTTGACATTTTTAGGTTCAAGGTCATTTTTTCATTTTGGGGGGTAATTTTTTGGTAAATTTTTGGACTTTTAAGGGTATTTCTTGTCATTTTTGGCCATTTTAGAGAATTTTTCTTCATATGCTTTCTGAAATGTGAATAACATGGAAGCGAGGTGTTCTTTCTTTTCTCCTTTAGATCATTTTTCTGGATTTTTTCGGTCATTTTCTAGGTCATTTTTTAAATATTTTCAGGTCATCAAAATCCGGGCCCTGTTTTTTACTCTGCTTAATGTGTTTCAGTTTTCTAGTCAAGTGTTTGTGTTGCAAGAAGATCTGAAAGCCACAGAGGATGAATATGAGGCTTCTAGACAAGTGATTGAGATTCTCCAGGCTCAAGTTGAAGTTCTCACAAGGGAGAAGGAAGTATTGTAAGTAATATTTCATTGTATGAGGTTATGTATCAGTTGTACCAACATAAGAGTAGTAGGAATTAACATTTTACATAGTATTAAAATTTGGTTTTAACTAGCCCGATTGATCGAACGAACAAATCAGCCACAGCTTGCCATTTCTGCATTTCCGTTAAATCATGCGGAACCCCTCGTGATGTAATTTTTCTCATGCCCAGGCGTTCCTTCAGAATGTGAATCACAGTCGTATGCGCTAATCCTGTCTCTCAGGCCAGCTTATGAATCGTATGGCATCAGTCACTCTCCAGTAACGCGGAGAGAGCATACACTTCTTCAATGGCACTAGAATGACCTGGCCGACGCATGTCTGCCACATTTTGGCGTCCCTCGTTGAAGGCTTTTACCCACCTTGCCACTGTTCTGTAAGGCAGTGCAGATTCCCCACAAGCCTCTTGAAGACCTTGAAGACTATGTCGTGCTGTACAGCCTCTGGCACATTCAATCTTTATCCAGTTCCATTGTTCCTGTTTCAAAAACATCGTGACAACACTACATTAAACTGCCAGCTATCATGAAGCTCTGTTCTTCTCGTCACTGCGCATGCGCATGATGTGAGAAGGGAGAGTCCATTTGCTCTGAGGTAAGGTAGGTATGTAACTAACGTGTGGTGTAAGTGACATTATTTGGTTCCGTTGCATGGCGTCTCTACAGTAGTGTTGCCACTATTAAAGTTCCAACCCCCATAGTTGTCATCTTAGGCTTTCTTGCAGACTTTTCAAGTAACTAATGCTAGCATTACCAGTTCTTGTTCTTTATTTCAAATGAGTTTTAAGTTGTACTCAGATCCTACCAATACTATGGGAAATGCTCTGCAGAATCTAATTGGTCCTGTCTTTTGGCTTTGCTCATGTATTACGAAGGCCCTATTTTGTTACATTTGCTTGTCTAGTTGATAGACCTCATAATTATACCAGTCTGATCTTGCTTATCGAATGTCAAATGTTTTCATACTAAAACAGTTTATTTTACAGATCAGTCACTAGACTCTGTACAATTTTACCAGAGCTAAAGTTAGTGACAGTAGCACACAATTTGATATGAAAAACATTATTTGTATTTGAATGACATTCATTCATTTATTGTGTGCTTATGTGAATTATTGCTATATGGCTGACTTCCTGTGCCATAAATAGAACAGTTTTATTCAGTAATGGATATGCTTTATTTATTTATACTTTTATCATCTTATTTAATGGAAAACTACTCCTGTTTTAAGAATTTTTATAAGTCTACATTTTCCTAAATTAAAACNGCAATATGATACTATAAACACCAGCACATATCAGTCTCTGGTGTTTATAGCTTCAGAGCAAACAAAACACATCATTCATAACAGAAACAGCTCGCAATAGCCACAGGAACGTTGCTGCAAGACAGGCATATGTAACGACGACTTAGCGCTCTTAAACGCGTGTGTCATTAAATACAGTCCTCCTGACAACAGGCCAGTGAAAAATCTAACAATCTACAGCAAAACCATCAATTATTATGGGCGTTATAACATACGTGTGCAGCTGGACGAAACATACACGTCGAACCCCCCCAGACGATTTAAATCCCTGACGAAACATACACGACGAACCACGGCAACGGGTTAAGGCAGTAAGGCAGTCACTGTTTACTTCCAATTTATGAACAGAATTCTCTTACATATATATTGGGGTACTCTGTTATAACCTTGAATCTGTTTCTTATCTTCCCTAGATCCAGCTTGTGAAAGACTTTTTTTATTCAGCTTTACTTTCCCCTCAGTCTTATGTTGAAGACATGTAAAATGTTGAACGGTATAAAGAATCACACAGGGATTGAGTCCAGTACGGTTTTCCCCAGATCTTCAGCTACAGTGGTATAACCAATGGTTATTCATACATGCATTGATTTGCAGATGTTAACTTCATAAATGCCTTAGAAAATGGAGATGAAAAATGAACACATAAATGCGCAGACACGATTTGTGATATATCATTATTTGCAATGTGTAGTATTGTACTGTGTCCTGATCAGAATTTGAGTGTGGCGATAGCAGTGGCCTGTTTCAGAATAACAGGGAATTTAAGTGTTACAAAATATGATGATGGCCAATGAGAAAGTTGAAGTGCCATCACTATTCACTGGCACACTTGCAGTAAAGGTTAATGAGTAAGGTGTTAATTTCTTGTTAGAACTATCTGGAGCCAGTGACTGTAGATGCAGCATCTTCATTTACTGATCATTCCAGAAGGACAATGCACATTGTGGCACAGACCTGTTTTGTGTTTGTCTTTATTAGACTTATCAACAGTTTGCATGTGTTTCAGTTTTATTGTAATATACATTAAATTCTCAGTTATCCACTTGCCAAATATCTGGAATTCTCATACAGCCTGCAAACATTTCAGAGAAAATGTTACAATATTTTTAATGTTATTTCAAAAGCACGTGGTAGTGTAGTTGGTTGAGGCACTATGCTACAAGCCTGAAGGTTGCAGGTTCAATTCCCAATGTGGTCATTGGATTTTTCAATTGACGTAAATGTTCCAGCCACACTATGGTCATGAGGCTGACAAACTCACTGCCATCTGTGGGCTGATTGTCTAGAAAATGTGGGAGCCTCGATGTCTCACTACCCAGTCAGCCTCCGTGGCCTTTTACAGGGATAGCTTTACCTTTTTTTGTTTCAAAAACGAAGTTGCAGTGTGCATATGTTGACCCACCATGCAGTAATTCCCCCATTTTCCCCTAGTAGCGGAGCCTGTCATCATCTCCCATGCAGATTCCATTACAGTACTGACTATCTGAAATATTTTACCAATCAGTGTGATATGTCACCTAAGAAGACTCCCCTGCAGGAACTAATGCAAAAACACGTTTTGACCTGGTACTGGGTTGTGCGTGCAATGAGCAGCCTCAATTTAGCTTCAAGGATAACAGATGAGTGACAAATGGGCAAGTTTGTTGGTCTGCATAAATTGTTTGCTGGCACTTATACTTGCTAAAAAAAAAAAACACTTTTTTTTATTGCAGGAGATATTGTAGTATAAGGGTTCACTTAGGGAATGCTGATTTTGATGTGAATGACACTTTCTATATGCACTTATCATAATTCTCTGACAAGGCTTAGTCCGCTGGAATTTGGATAATACCAGTGTTCATCACAGTTAAAAGCACATAGTATACATAGGTCTCTTTTGCTGGCCACAGTTCTCACAATATTCCTATCATTTCATGCAGTGGAATCCACCACATGGGGGCTCCCAACTCAGAAATGGATTTCTTCAACTAGCCAGGTGGACAGAAACCAGGGAGGTTGATAGGACCGTAACTGGAGGCATTCATCACTAACACATTATCAGTGTGACTAATAAAATTAAATGTGTAAGCATGTTGTAACTAGTGTGTTGTCCAACCTGAATTGTTGCATCATTTAACATTTTCCTCTTTTGCTTCACACAGTAAACTGTTGTTTGTCTGGATAAAATTTATAGCATCCGTTAAAAGTCAGGAATGTGTATATGCATGATGGAGCTGATGTGTAAAGCAGAAAAAAATGTGTGTACTTGTCTAGTAGCAAGAGTTGTTATTGTTGGTATTATTGGTAAGTCATCTAGATTGAGACATTGTACTAAGACAAGAGTCATTTTTAAAGTAAGAACCATTTTGTTATAAAAAAAAAGAAAATTTCATTCATCCAATTATCCAATGTCATTATTAGATACAACATATGAACATATTGTAATGTGTTTTGCCACTGAAGACGCAGTTCAGATTCTTAATTGGTTTATTTAGCAACCTACAAATCGTAACTACAAATACTTATGACACTGTTATGGGTTTACACACTTTACAGACCCTACTCACAGATCTCTTCACACTATCTTCAGTACACCATGCGTTCCATTCTTCTTTCTGCAACTGGTGCTATATTTCAACTGCTCCGGCAAATGCTAGACTTCCACTGCACTGCTTAGGCATTCCAGTGTCTCTTATAAACCTTCAGCTGGACAGCAGAAAACTCAACTCGCTTCCCTGTTGCATAATTGCCATGTTTACCAATTGCCTAACAACAGTCACTGCATGGGCCACACTGGCCACTTTTTCAATGTGCTGCCATGTTTTCCTGAATGGACGATAATATAAGACAACCCCACACAAGGAAACATGTCTGCAGAGAAAACTAAAAATGTGAGAGAAAATAAATATTAGAAAACATATATACTGTATGACATCTGTTTGGTTTTCTTTTTGAAGTCACTAGCCTCTATTCAGTTTTTCCAACCTTTTTTCACCTTTTGTATCATCTATCTCACATTCATTGCTCACATTTTCATGTTCACTGCCAACATTGCCAACTTTTTCCTCATCCTCACTCCCATTTGTTTATCGGATATGTAGCACTGTTTAGATCATTTGACTATCATTTGCATAGAGCTCCACTGGTGTGGTAGTTCACACTGGTCCTCTTTATTAATCTCATGATGTGAGAACATGGCCCTCTACCAAGAGTTATTCAGAATACAGCTGTTTGAAATGATCCTTAACCTCTAGGAGACTGCTAAGCCATATGTTGGTCTTAAATTATGCTTGCTCTTGGCCTGATGAACCATAAGCTGGTCTCCTTGATGTTGCTCTGGATTATCTTGCCAGAGACATACAAAATAAATATTTTCTTTTAGATACCTCTTTGGAGAGGAAGTCCTAAGATTCTCATCACCTTTGTATATTGCTTCATTCATTAGTTATTAACTTAAAATATTCCAGTGATATTGCACTTTCATTGTTCACGTTAAAATACATTTACTTGAGAACATCAGGATTTATCTTTTCTTGCGCTACCATCTTCCTGGGGCATTCATATTTTTTGTGTGACATACACTTGACTAGTGCAACTGCATGGAAGTATACATTCTAATGGGGCACATAAGAATAACGATAACAACAGCACACCAGTATACATAGGGCTAAACAGAACAGGGGCGGCC